TGTGTGTGTGTGTGTGTGTGTGTCCTTTCAAGTCACTGTATTTCTCTCATTTCAGTGATTTCCCCACTTTACTCCCAACATGGGACCCAAGATTTAACACAGTGCAAAAGCAGACAAGAACTCCCAGAATCCCCTAGTGTGACTATTCCTTGGCCATGCTGATTGGGGAGTTCCAGTGTATGCGTGTCTTGAAGTCACTGTGTTTGTTTATCTCATGTAAGTGATACCCCATCTTACTCTCAACAGAGGACCCTAGATAGGACACAGTGCAAGAGCAGGCAACAACTCCCAGAATCCCTCAGTGTGACTGCAACTCCCAGAATCCTCCCTGGATATGCTGATTGGGGAGTTCTGTGTGTGTGCGTGCATGCGTATGTATGTGCCTTCAGATTATTTATATTTATCTCATTTAGGTGATACCCCACCTTATTCCCAACATGAGATCCAAGATGGCACACAGTGAAAAAACAGATTGCAACTCCCAGAATCCCCCAGTGTGACTAGAAGCCCCAGAATCCTCTCTGCTGACTGGGGAATTCTCGGTGTATGGGTGTACATGCCTTTAATTTTCTCCATGAATGTCTCCTAGGGTTTTCTCAGGCAAGGAGTGATCAGAGGTAGTTTGGCCAGTTCCTTACTCTGAAAAATAGCTGACAGTGAGTGCCTGGGATTCCTTGGCGGTCTCTCACCCAAGTCCTAACCAAGGCTGACCCTGCTTAGACAGATCATCCAGATGGAGGATCATATCTTCTGTCAAAAGAAAAAATTTTGAGACTTGGCCGATCTCTCTCCCTCCGTCTCTCACACACACATAGACACACAACAGATTGGCATTGTCCTTTTGTCCAGAAATTGCCATAAATTTATCTGCTGCAGCTGGTAACTCACTGTTTTATTGCATGAAATGGCAAACAGCCCAGGCATTTTTTTTAAAAAAGACAAAAATCCAGCCATCATTGGATGATGATCATTTTCATGGCAAGTGGGCAGCTGATCCTTTGATTGATCTCGAGTC